CTTATTGAGTGATCTTGAAGAACTGACAGATATGCAACAGGTGTTCACACAAAAGTTGGCTCAAAAGCTCAATAATTACAATGAAGTTAGAACCTGTAAAGCAGCTGGCTCTCGAAGGTCAGATGGTAGGTCATTGAGCCAGTAATCTGGAGGGCATTGGTTTGAATTCTGTCGCTTTGTAGCCGTTTATAAGCTACCGTTTTCTATTTCATTGATCAAATGGGAAAAATCCTCAACTATCATCCGAATTAACCTGGTGACCGTGAAGAAAAATACTTAACGATGACACTGGATGATGGTTTCGCTATAATGTGAACCGACAGAGGCTGTAAATATGAACCACTTTATTCCGGCCCTGTGGTTCAATGGTAACGTGCTAGCTACGGAACCTGAAGATCCTGGGTCAGATCCCTGGTGGGATCATAGGTGCGCACTGCTGAATAGTTTCATACTAGGACGAAACAGCTGTCCAGTGCTGCCAAGTTTACAGTGGTTTTCCAGATGATATCAGGTCATGATGATGAATACGAACATGAGAAACCACTAAATCCCCACGAACCTCCTGAAATGAATTGTTCTAGTTCTCATTGGTGACTAGCTTTGAGAGGTGATTCCTAGAGTTCCAATGAGAAGTTGTGACCAGTGGGGCAAAACTGTTGACCGTGAGGACAAGTACTCAATAATGACATCGGACGATAGTCGCGCTATTTCATGAACTGACAGAAGTAGGAAATATAGATTAGTGAATTCTAATTCATTGGCTCAGTGATAACTAAGCTCAGTTGAATATTTATCATCTAATGAAAAGTGGATCTTGTCAATATTATACATAAACTTTTAAGTATTGAATCCTTGTAATTTTCAAATAAAGAGTCTTTATTATTCAGTCTGACTTTTGTTGACTTCAATGCTTACTGAGGAAACCAGTTGTTCATTGACGTCGTGGAATATAATCGATGAAAACGGTAGAATACTTCTCTTTGAAGCATGAACTGTTCATTCCACCACAATAGTTAACAGAATAAATGGCGTAAAAACAAGGGGGGGGGCGGAAGTTGATATTCATGCTTAACTTCATAAGTGTACAATTGGTTTTTCAATAAGAATACTAAGTTGCTGTATTAATCAAACCGTATAAACATTTTAGACATGACGCTTACTTGAAATCTGGAAGGACTTAATAAAAAGGATTTGTGTCATTTTCTCAATCTGTCTAGTTACTTGAATTACCCAGATGTTGCAGAAATGAGCTCACTAGTATAGAAGCATTTTGAGAGGTGAGGTGAAAATCCTACATTATACCCTAAGAAAGATTACACTGAATAAAGCTAGAGTACATTGTCAAACAGAAAACAAGCGAAGTTAACAAAACAGTATACATATAGCAACGCGATTCCCTGTGGATAATGTATTAAACTTTTCAGACACTTCAACATCTAACAAAGTTATTGGTCTAGAAACTACTCCAACAGAAGGGTACTTTTAACTGTCGAGCACTACATTATGTTCACGCCTTATTACAATAAATTTTACATTGGCAATATTCACCCCCTCATTGAACGAAGATGTGTTGAAGTTAGCACACATTTTAAAGCATTTGCTATCCACATGATTTTAGAAATCTTCAATTAACCGAGTCCACGGTGACGTTATAGAAATGTAACATGTCTAAAAATCCTTTGAGTGCAGCAACATATCTTGAAGATCATTCTCACCTCTTACATATAAGTACATACATCTGAGTCCTAAAGTTATTTACTTGGTGATGCCGGAACCCGTTAGTTGCAGGGAACAGCATCCCAGTCAGTCAGTCAACCTATTTAATAATGGAGGTTGATCAACACGAAATTACAAAGATTGGTAAGTGACGAATGATATTCGTTGAATAAAAGGTGTCTGTTATTACTCAGTAGGCTGGTGAATGATCTTTTGTTGTTTGTGATGGTATGCTGGGCTCAAATCTCAGTAATGACAAGATCACTCATGACGTGGCATATACAGAGTGTTTCTTCATGCCAATTTTCCTATTTTTCTTAATTTCCTTAAAACTAGAGTTTGTTATGTGTACTGCTCAATTTCCTATGAATTAAATTTTATGCTCCCGATCGCGTGAGAATATGCATTGACATGTCCTGCTTGTTTCGTCTCTGCCTACATCCAGTTGTGACAGATTGCTTTCTTTGTAAGCAGATGAACGATCTACTCAACGTCAGTACTTCTCAAGTTTCATCGTCATCAAATCATATGATTCTTCAAATCGTGTTGCGAAGCATCAATTTCTAATATATTGGGTCCTAATACAACTGTTTACAAGTGACCCTATTTTTGAATATATTTACAGTGTTTATTGAGTTTAATTAAATGTCGGTTTTTGTGAACTTTCGATGGTTGAGAAAAACAGTAACAATTTTTCTCATTGCTTGTTTTTGGGTCCATTACACGCAGTACATCATGTAATGAGTCCTGAATAGGACGAAACATGCATCCTGGATTCCTTTGTGTAACGATCAATAATTAAATAACTTTGAAATGAACCCTAAAGCATCCCTTCAAGAAATCTATATGTTAAGAAAGACAGATTGATTCGATTTACTACAAAATCGGTAACAAATTACAAATATAAACGAAAGCACATTACTCTATAGTGCTCATTAGTGACTTGCTTCCAGATGGATATCACGAACCTCTAGTGAGAAGTCGTGACTAGTGGGGTCAACCAGTCGGAGGTGAAGTGGATGCCAACTGAAGGAAGACCTTGGGTGATAGTCGCGCTATATCGTGAATTGACAGAAGTTGGAAATCGTGAACCACTGGAAACCGACCCAGTCGACGTTTTATGCATTTAGTCCCCACTATTGTGACATATTTGACTACAAATACTCCATATTGATGAAACCAGATGATATAAAATCTGAAAAGGGGAATATACAAAGATTATTTCTGAGACCTAATTTAAAATGTTGTCTAAATCATATTCTTGTAAGTATTACCTTGGGACATTCGTGAAAACTGGAAGACTACAGTGATTATCATCCAGGAATCAACTCGTATATCTCTTAGTGATTTTTCTTCTTCAACTCGTACATTTATTAACTGAATATATAAATAAATGTACCAGTATACATGGTAATATGTATTACTATCCAACATTATAATGACAAAACTTCATTTCTGAGTGAGTTGTGGAGATTTGGAATTATTTCAAGTTGTTATTCATCGTAGACTGACATCAGTTGGAGGAACAAAGGAAACCTGAGAGCACTGGACAGCTGTTTCGTCCTAGTGCGCACTGCTGAGGAGTCCTATACTAGGACGAAACAAAAGTTCATTTCACCTACACCACAAGGATTTTTGATGGCTATCCTCATTTATAAGAAAAATAAGCCTTCATATCATACTATCTCACTTGTTCCAAGAAAAAAGGTCCAGAAAAGGATGACATACTGATTATTCAGATGGAAGTTGTCAACTGAGAATAATTACTGGCTGGTTAGAACGCCTTTATAACTTACAGCATATAAACAGACTTACAGATCATTTGCATTTGTGTTTGACTCTGCATTGTCAACTAGACAAGTCAGGTAACTTTAAAGGTTACCCTAGCAACTATCGAAAAAACTAATTAAGTTTCTTTATTTCGGTTGGAAAGGCTGACTTTCATAAAATAAAGTAGTGTGATTGGTTATTTCAGCTGTTGCTAGGATGGCCTTGGCATTTGTCTTTTCCTTTGTTCTATCCATTAAAGATATCATCAAGCACAATACATTTACAGATTATCTTGATAATTTATATAATCTTAAGAAGTCTACATCACATATAAGCTACAGTTTACATATTAGTCACGAAGATATCCACGTTGAACAAACTGTATGCTATGAACATCTGTTTCACTGATAACTTTCAACCCTTTAAAGAATTCCTGGTTGGAGGTATTTTGGGATCGGTTAGTTTCACTATGTTATCCATCTTGAAGTGACATCATTTATAGAACGACTGAAAACCTGAGAACATTGAACAACCATTTCGTTCTAGTATGAGATTCCTCAGAAGTTTGAATTCACGACTTCATAAAAGATTGAACTCATGACCTTCAAATCTTTCTATATCCACCATTGGATTCCATTTCACTAGTTGAATGACAAAGTGTTGCTCGTTGTGTGCAATAAAGGTCAGTATGCACTGCTGAAGAGTGTCATACTGACATGAAACAGTTCTCCAGTGCTACCAATGTTAGTCCATGATGAATATCATCTTGGAAATTATAAAAACAAAATTTCTGGTTGGTACTACTAACATGAAGAACGTTAATCACTAATAACTATGTTACATAGTGACTAAAAAAGAGAAGATAATGAGGAATGAACAGTAAACTAATGAAATATGTTACAATTAATTTAATCAAAGTCGTCCTCATTACTATCTGTTGATATACTTGTAATTCTCCGTTGTTATACTGGGTCGAATTGTTCTACTTCTATCGGCATATTGGCTCCTATTAGGATGCCTTGATATTGCCTGAATATTTAGTGTGATAAGAGGGGGATGTCGTGCCTCAGTGGTTTAGTGGATAACGCATTGGCGTTTAAAGCAATGAGTACGAGGTTCTAGTCTCAGAAGGAACAACATCACTCCGCACTGGGGTACAGGTACATCCAGCTGACGAGTCCTAAATAGGACGAAACGTGCTTCCTAGATTCCTCTGCTAGCCACAACTAAGTAAATCAGAATAGTCCTTACTGAACAAACTGGCTAACTAGGTTTTTAATTTTTACTCTTTTAAAGAATAAAACTGTCCCCCCCCCTATACTTATTTATCATCCAAGTGTATATGTCCGCTTAAACTATTCACTCCCCTATGACTAGTTCATTTCATTAGGACCAATCATGTAACTGGAAATTTTTTTTCTTTTTTTTTACTCTTATTTATGTTTTTATCAAGTTCAATAGTGAAATATAACTAACATTGATCATTCAAAATTGAGTATAAAAGAGCTTACAATTTGTAGATGAAATGTCACCGTCAAGAAAAATAAACATTTTATTCACTGAAGGAACTCTTTGAATTATTTCAATTTTGATTTTATCTCACCTGTATTGTCAAGATAGATGGCGTTGCTAACAATGAATAAAATGTTTACTGAATGGTTGATTGTCTTACTCGTAAGTTCTGCATATTTGCTTATTATTTTGTTTATTGTGTAAAGTAAACAAAGGGATGGTCAATGGCTAGTAGTTGGGTCCAGGACATCTGTTTTATCCAATTTAGGACTCACTACTTCCTAGTCAATGATCCTGTCGTTACTGACAGTCGAACCCATTACACATCACCATAAACAACAAAACATCATCCACCAGGCTACTGAGTCACGAAAACCACTTCTTATGCACCGGGCGTCATCCGTTATTGGTCGATGCTTCTAATTTCTTGTTGATTATTATACTAGATTAAATAAAAGTGGTCGACCTCTATTATTTATAGGGCTGCTTTACTGACTGGGTTGTTGATCTCTGCAGTTAACGAGTTCCTGGACAGGACGAAACACATGACCTAGATTCCACTGCTATCCACTACCAAGACGTCCCTATTTACATATGTGAAATGGAAGTAGTCATGCAGGTGTGTCGTTCCAGTCATGTTGCATTTCGTCAGCGTCACTTTGTGCTTGATTTACTGAAGAATATGTCTGAGAACATTTGGTAACTGAATGCTTCGAAATTTGTGCTAATTTCAACATGACTTCATCAGATGATTCACTGATTTGTATGAATAACTAACTATCTTGATAATAGTGAATATTACAAGTGTAAAATTCATCGTAATAAGGCACGAACATTATGTAGTGTTCGAAGATTGGAAGTAATCTTTTGTGATTAGTGTCGAAGAACTAAGTAGATAAATGTGTAGCGTTTAAACAGGGTAAGTGCTATGATAGAGTCTCAACCGAAACAGATCCACTCATTCCGGTGTAGGCATATCCAGCTTATGAGTCCAATTGTGCGACAAAACTCGCATCCTAAATTTGACTGCCAAATATCATCTATCACTGCCACCAAACTAAAATTGCTGGTCACATCGGGTTATCTGCACTGATACCTAAATGCCTTTAGTGGCTGACAGATTCGTTCCAGTCAATGATAGGAATTTGCAATTTATACTATATAATCGAAATGACTACCTATTAATTAAAAACTAATTATGAATTGTATTGATGGGCGGTGGCTAGCAGTAGAATCCAGGATGCGCATTTCGTCCTATTTGGGACTCATCAGCTGGATGTACCTGCCTCTCAGTGAGTGATGTTGTTCCCACTGGGACTCCCGAGTCCCGGTATACCAAATTTTCATTGGTTCATCAGCTGAAGTCAATGTATGGTAAAAATTACCTTTGTATCAATAAATCCCTACAAACCAACAAGTAACAAACACAAGAGGTGGTTATTATGCCCCCAGTGGCCTAGTGAACAATGCTTTGGCGTTTGAAGTGATGCGTACTGGATTCCAGTTTCAGTACGAGGAAACTCATTCACTGGTAGGTAGGTAGGTAGATACATCCAGCTGACTAGTGGGTCTGAAAGAAGATTAAACATGCATCCTGGACTCCACTGATAAACACCATGTAGATATATAACAAGAAGGGATAATTGTAACAATAAAGAAAAACCATTAAGATATTTTTTTTTGTTTTTTGTCCAATATTAAAGAAAAACAGGGGAAAACAAATAGCTTTCAGTAAGCACAATATGTTACAATGATAAAACTTACCTCTATGACTTTATGTTATTCGCATATAATGAAGGGGAAGGGATAAAAATAAGCAAATCATATCTTCAAATCTTAGGAAACTCTATTTAGCGCCTTTTTTTATCACGCAAGATGTGTTTCCTATGTTTCTGTTCTTTCTTATAAAGGTTTTTGCATTATATAATGACATACCTTATTGTCTTTTCTATAATTAGTTGAGTGTTTTCATGTTGGCATCACTATAAATGCAATTACTTCATCTATTAAAAACCATCAGTTATTATGTGATTTTTATTTAAAAATAAACAAAACTGTTTATCATAACTGTTTTAACAACTTAACGGATCTCATCAGGCGATATAACCGCATTACAGCATAATTCCTTATCAATATTCTTATTTTGTTTATAAAACCCTAACCCTAATCAATATGGAACAGCTATTGTCTTCTGATTGGCCTACTTACAGGCTTGCTCTGATAATCTTATAGCTTTCGAAGTGACACAATTTTCGATACCTATGAAATTTTCACTAGCCAGACAGTTTTTTTTTTTAATCGACAACAACTTTGCTTCGCATGTGAATGTTTTCAACTGAGGATCTTGTCATAAAGTGTTGGATATATGAACCATTAACCAAATTTTTAGCAGAAAAGACTTTTTATAGCATAAGTGTTGAGGAAGTTACTTAACCAATTGTTGAGATTTCCGCTGTTTAAGCTAGGGAAACAGTTAACAAGTGTCATTCTTATACATATGGCATACATCTTCCTTACCACTATAATACTATCTGCAACAAACAATTCCATGTTTCTACCTGGAAAGAATTTTGGAGACATTCCTAATGTCAATCAATAACTTGTCACCATAATAATTATTATTATTATTAGTCCCTTGGGTTCCTAATGGAACATACGGATTCACTAGCACATCTCCAGTGAACTCTGTTCTCTGAAATCTTTTGAACCTGGCTCCACGACAGCCCACAACCTCTCATTTCCTCCTCACACCATCCCCTCCATGTCACCCTCACCATGGACACCCAACTCGTCGCCTCCCATGAGGGCTCCACTCGAGCAATTGGCCTGACGCGTGATGTCCCCAGTCGGCTTTCTCAGTGTTTCAGTCACCATAATTGAATTCCCTTTATTTCACATTATTATAAGATATAGTGGATAATGCTTTGGCGTTTGAAGCGATGGGTACAAGCTTTGAGTCTCAATGGGTTCAATATCACTCCACACTAGGATGCAGGTACATCTAGCTAACCAGTGAGTCCCAAACAGGATGAAACACGTGTCCTGGATTCCGCTGCTAACTAAAACCAACTAAATTACTCTGATTAACATTTAGGCAATATCGAGGTATCCGCATAGGATCCCATATGCCAATAGAGGCCGAAATATTCTATCCAATAAAAACAACGGAAAGTTACAAGTACATCAATAAATACTAATAATTGAATTCTCTTCATTTCAAATTATTACGAGACCAATTGGTTGGGTAGTTGGTGTGATGAAGAAGAGTCAAATCTCTTATTAAAACGACATGCAAATCAAATTACCGTCGAATAAGGTAGAATGAGGTTCCCTTGGTTAGCTTGTATGGAAGTGATGTAATAACTCGTAGGTAACTATTATGAAGGAAAGTTATGCCACCACTTCTTTTAGTTATAGTTATGTGACTGGTTACAAACTTGAAGATCTACAGGCGAAAACTAACAAGTTGGCAGAAGAGGCAGCGAAGACGGGACTTCAGGTGAATATAGGGAAGACAGAAGTGATGAAGATACCGCACCAACAACAACAACAAACTCCAATCACCATCAACGGAGAAACTTAAAGGAAGTAACCTCCTTCACCTACACCTACCTAGGCAGCACTGTTTCAACTACAGGCGGCACTGACGAGGATGTCAAAGTCAGAATCGGAAAAGCAAGACAGGCGTTCATTAGCCGGAAACCAGTGTGGAGATCTACTTCACTGCACTCAACATGTGGAACAACATCCGGATTTTCAACACCAAGGTGAAGTCAGTGCTCCTGTATGGTTCAGAGACTTGGTGGGTTACGAAAGGGATTTCCAATAAACTACAGACATTCATCAACAACTGCTTACGCTCTCTACTGAAGATCAGATGGATTGCCAGAAAGAATAAGCAACAAGGAGCTCTGGGAACGGAACAACGAAGCAAGAACCTATTGCTGAACTAGTATGCACTGGAAAGAAGTGTAGATGGATTGGGCATACACTGAGAAGGCCAGCTGGGGACATCACGTGTCAGGCCAGTTCAGTCGCTGAAGTGGAACCTAGATGGGGAACGACTAGTTGGGTGTCCGAGGCGGGGTGAGGGTGATATGGAGGAGATGGTGCGAGGAAGAAATGAGAGGTTGTGGGCTGTCGTGGAGCCAGGTTCAAAAGATTTCAGAGAACAGAGTTCACTGGAGATGTGCTACTGAATCCCTATGTTCCATTAGGAACCCAAGGGACTAATAATAATAAATAGTAATGTGACTGGTTACTTTCGCTTTGATTTCATATTCATTGAAATATCTTCACAACATCATAAAAATTAAATGATTAAGGGAAAGTACACTGGTCGTCTGGAAGTAAGAAACCAAATCAAGATGAAAATAATACTTGTGATGACCAGAATTTAACGCTATCAGTTATAGATAGCCTATAGGACTAAGCATTTTTTTGTCTTACTATATGGTTTGATAACACTCCTCAACCACTAACTATTCTTAGGTTGAGTCCAGAACTTAAAGAACGTGTAAGATGAGCCTTACATATCAACATACTTCATCCAAATTCATAATAGGCTCTACAAAATATGCCCATTCGATGATTCATGGAGGGTGACATAGCTTAGGCAAGCAGTCGAGATCTAAAAGAGAATGGTAAAGCATATAACACCATGGGATAAATCCCCATCCACCGGATAGTATGATAAGTCTGCAAATTTTGGTTAATAGAAAAGAAGCCTACAGTCATAAATATAACACATCAACAGCAAAAGCTAAGCATCTTAGAATTCATCCTAGAATTATACACAATATAACCAACTAGATGTTCCCTACTTCATGTTTTTGAACAATTTTTCCAGTAACACTAATTTATTATATGTGGATGACTAAATTACTCGATTTCTATGTAGTAACAAAATTCTATGCTGTCCACTCTTTAACACTGACTGAACACTTTGAAGAAATTTACAAAATGATCATTAAACCAAGGGATTAAAACAACCTATGTTCAATGTTCAAATACCTCAGTTCACGATAAGTTATCTGATTACTTCGCTAAGTGGCAAAATTCAAGTCTCTGAGGTAACAACACCGACAGATATACTCTACTGATGAGTGCTAATATACTTAAAACGTTGAAAATATCCGGTTTTCACCCAACAACAGATGATA